TCTGGAACAGCAAATCCGCCCTAGAACTAGGCCTCTTCCAACACAGCTTTACTTCCCAGCACACGACAGGCACATTGGTTTAGAGCCCGAGTGCTAGAGTCAGAAAACACGGGTTCAGAGTGGCCGTGGGCACCGCCTGGCACGTGGCAGGGCTCAAAATACCTGTGAGCCACTGTTTTTCTTGTACATGACCTTCCTCAGCTGGGACTGGAGGGAGAGAGTTGGGAAATGTCCAAATCAGGGATTCACCCAGCAGAGGGTTGAGAATGAAGAGCTGTCCCGGGGGCTTCCTGAGCACAAGGGTGGGAAGGGACAGTCTTGGTCCCTTGGCGCTCCTTCTATAGAGTAGGGGCTTCCTTCCTGGGCCCCTGGGCTCCATCTAATCTGAGGCAGCCCTGGGGAGGGCACCGCGACCAGGGGCCACCAGAGGCTCGCTGCTGGGAGCCATCAGGACCTTCCCACATTCCCTCCCCAGCTCGGGGGCTGAGAAGTGGCGTGTTCTGGCTCATGAAACACTCTCGGAGCCAATGTGAACTCAGACCCCCCCTTGGGCGACGGGTAGAGAGCAGTGCTGGCACCCAGCTGCCACCACTGCCATTCCGATGAGGCAGCTATCTGCACACGGAGGGGAGAGATGGCATTTCGAGGCAGGGGGGCCGGAGGCAACAGACAGGATCCCCTACGAAGACATGGAGAGCCGAGGAAGTGAAAGCCTTCAAGTTTCAGCTGGGAGGCTGGAACCCAGCATGCTGGGTGCTCGCTCATTTTAATTGGTGCCTCCGTCAGCCTGGTGACACCCGGCTCTCTGCCTTGGCGAGGCCCTAAGGAAGCCAGGGGAATGACTCTGGTGGAGCCAAGTGCCCAGGCTCCCTGGGAGGCTGCAAGAGTCTAATTGCTGTTTGGTCTCCAGCTGCCAGGCTGCCTCCGCTTCCCGGCTGGGTGGTGGCCACCTGCTGGGCCAGGAGTGAGGCAGAAAGGATTGGGGTCTTGGCCTGGGTTCAGGACCCCTGCTTGTGTGCCACAATATTCCAAACAAGCCCAGTCTCCAGCCACGATAAAAACGCCTGTGACTGGACAAGCACTTATACATAAAAATGGGCATCACACACCTTAGCTCACTAAATCCACCCAACAGCCCTCCTGGAGATGCTCCATGATCCCAGTGTGCAGGTATGGAGGCTGAGCCCTGGAGAAGCTAAGCCCTGTATTCGGCTGGGATGGGAAGCCTGGAGCTTGACTCCAGAGCACACAGGCTTGGCCACTCCACTACCCAGGGTATCACAAATGACAAAAGCTATGCAAGTCTATCTCTGGCTTCGATCTTGGGCAAGTACGCTGGGGACACTGGGTCTGAGAAAGAACCACGGGCACAGATGTATGCGATGGATCCCACCTGGGGGTTGGTCATCCTGGAATACGCACCCCACTGCTCTTTCCAGCTCACCTTGGCTCCCTCTGCCTGAAGACCAAGAGCCCTGGCCCATCTGACTGAGCCTGGTGCCAACCAGCTCTGGCTGCTCCAACACTCTGGAGTGGGAGCCAGAGCACCACATGTTGACCCCCTGCAGGGGGACAGTGACCTTCCACGTTGCTAGCTAGATACCACACAGGCTCCAGGTAACTGCTGATGGATGGCACACCAGGCACCAGGGTGAAGGAGGGAGAGGTCCTCCTCTGCTCTACTACCTTAAGCCTTCGCCAGGCATGGCACGAACCACCAGCACCAAAGCAGCCTGTGAGACTAAGTGCCCAGCTCAAGCCTCAGCTGCCTCCCTTGCCCCCAATCCCTTTCTCACCCAGAGAAGGCATATCTATCGCACAGACCCATCCTAGGCAGTTGCTCAGTTTGAAGGAATGAGAAAGCAAAAGCTGAGTGTGACCGGAATTCCCCTGGAAAATCTCTTGTATGGCCCACGACACTCAGACTGTGTCCAGTGGCGGTCTAGGCCACCGCCCGGTGCCCGCCGCGTGGCTCTCTGACCTGCGCTGTCAAGAGGCCAGCCCCGCTGAACTGTGCTCAAGGTTATTCCCAAGTCCCAGGCTTTAAATACCTTTGCTCATACCTGCCTCTTTCATCAACCTGACACCTTCTGCCTATGAGTCATTCCTTAGCGTTTCGGCAGCCACGCTCACAGCCCAGAGATGCCTGAGTCTTGGATGAAATCCATCCTTGCCCACATAGGAAAAACAAAACCCAAACCCTCCAGTTTCCTGCAGGGATGATGCCCCATCATAGGTCATATCTAGATAAGATCAAAGGGCATAAGCAGCACAGCCGAGTTCCTGGGTACCTGCATCTGAGCAAAGGGTAGGAATGCTCTGGACTGAATTTTGCCCCCCTACAATTCCTACGTAGAAGTCCTAACCCTCAGGACCTCAGAATATGCCTGCATTTGGAGATAGAGGCTTTAGAGAAGTAATTAAGGTTAAATGAGATCATTGAGGTGGATCCTAATCCAACTCGACTGGTGTCCTTATAAAAAAAGATTAGGATACCGGCACCCAGAAGGAGGGGTGAACATGTGAGGAAACAGTGACAAGACGGCTATCTGCAAGCCAAGAAGGGAGGCCTCAAAAGAAACCAAACCCATTCACCCCTTGATCTCAGACTTCCAGCCCCCAGAACTGTGAGATAATAACTTTTTGTTGGTCAAGCCCCTGAGTCTGTGGTATATTATCACAGCAGCCCAGGCAGACTAAGATAGGAACACGGAGGTACGGAGCCAGAGGAAGGCACTGACAATAGCGGCTGGGTCAGGCGGAGGCCAGGCCTGCTCAAGCTCACGCCCTTAGAAAGCTCACTTAGTTCCCACTGCCTCGTGCCCAGGGAGCACCAACTCCACTGAAGACCTCTGTCTGCATTCTGCCAACTCCTTCCTACCTCAGGGGTTACATCAGCCACAGCCTGGGGCTGATGAGGGCAGCCTCGAGGACAATCAGCTCTGTTGGGAGAAGTGAGACTCAAACCACTGTTAGGAGAAGAGGCAGGAGGGGATGCCGCCCACTTCTGACTGGGACCCTCAGACAGCCACTCCCATGAGCTACAAGGCTCCAAAAAACCCAACGAGGTTTATTTTAACCGTGACTTGTTGAATGGATCACCGAGCCAAGGTGATAACAAAGATGCATGGAACTCAGGGCCCACTAGGTGATCAGATGGCTAAATAAGTAATTACCGCCCAGTAAGCTACTTGTAATGATGGAAGCCTCATCCAGATGCCAACCCAGAAAAGGGCGGTCATTAGCCCTGTCGGAGAGCAAAGGTTCAAAGAGATGGGATTCTCAGCAGGACCTGCAAGACAGAACCGAAGCTCATGAGCAAACAGGAGGCTGGGAAAGGCATTCGGGACTGGGTGACCAGCAAGGCGGAGGGGTTTAAGAATGCACGGGGCCATGGCTTGTGTGGCTCAGTTGGCTAGGCATCATCCCACGCACCCAGAGGTTGCCGACTGGATTCCACATCAGGGCACATGCCTGGGTTGTGGGCTCAATCCCCAGTAGGGGGCGTGCAGGAGGCAGCCAATAGATATTTCTCTCTCATCGATGTTTCTCTCTCCCTCTCCCTTCCTCTCTCTCTAAAAAACACAAACATATTAAAAAAAACAAAACACAAAGAATGCATGGGGGATTCACACAACTAGAAGCAGTGTGACATTGTAGGTGAAGGCAGGAAATGGGACAGGTCAGGTTAGCAGAACACACAAGGCCCGGGATGTGGCCTTCCTTCTGTAGGGGATGGGAAGGTCCTGGAGAGCTTCAAGTTGGGGAAATTACCAGGTTGAATTTGTATGTTAGACTGAAAGCTCAGACAACAGGAAAGGGGAAAGTTGGGTAGAAGGTCAGTGCCAAAATCAGAGCATGAAATAACAAAGGCCGACATCAAGGGAGGGCAGCCTCCTCTGAAATCCCTTCCTTCCTTAGCAGGTCCTGCTGTTTTCCAGCCAGGCTTGGTGCATTACACCCACTTGTTTTTAGAGGCTTCAGCAAATGTCCCAGCGAGAGGGCGAGAGAGGAAACTGAGGCACTAACGCACTGTGTGGAAAGCACGAGTTCCCTGGGCCCTGTCAGCTTTATATTTTGTTTTCCTTAAAAGAAACAAACCCAAAAGAGCCACCGACTTTGCCAAGATGAGGACAGGCCCACTAGCGGCCTATCCGAGCTTAGCTTTGTTGTCTTTTAGGCCTATTTCCTACCCATCAAGCTCCGTCATGGGGGGGCTCTGGCACACAGCTGGAGGGTGAAACGCCTACTTACTAAGGAGACCCTAAAGCGCTAGTCCATGCCATCTCAGGACCCTCTATAAAAGGCAGGTTATTTTAAGCCCTTCCTGGACCTAAGGCCCAAGCAAATGAAGCAAATGGCTTTGGGACAAGCACCAGAAAGGTTTTTAAGGCGTCTCATCCTGCCAGAAGCACACTTAAACTTTAAAAAATTTAAAGCTCACAACCTCCCTTGGATTCGCTTTGTGCTAGGCGATGGTTGAGAGGAACACAAAGCTAAACCCCAAACCCGCAGATCAATGGATCACGACAAATGCTTGCCCCCTTTCACCCTGTCCTGGGCACTGCAGGGACGGAGCCCCAGCGCTGAGACGCAGTCAACTCTGCCTTCCTGCCAATGGTTTCAGATTGGAACAGACGGAGGCCAGTGTTGAACTCCGTTGCTTTTTTTAACCAGGAATGGGGCAGGGAAGCTAGCCAAAGGGGCAGGTGCGCCCGAGGTCCCCACCAGGCTTCCAGGAGCAAAGCCAGGGCGCCTCAGGTGCAAGGGGTGGGGACAAGGTGATGAGGGAGGCAAGGGACCCTGGAAACGCCTCTAAATTGGGGGTGCAGGATTAGGACCCCAGAGTCTCCCAGAAGTTTATGTCAGATCCTAGGGGTGGAACACAGAGTCAGGCATTTGGGTACACGTGTCTACGATCAGACTACCAAGCTCACAGCTCACCCCCTGAAGTTGCCCCCTCACCCGCATGCCCAGCGCAGCCCACCCCACCATCTTACTTCTGTTAGGCAGCTCCTCTTGGCCCAGGCCATCGGAGGGAGCCAGTGGGGCACTGCCACCCTCGTCCAAGGTCAGGATAAGGGGAACGTCGTCATCTAAATTCATGGCCATGTTCTGTCCTGTAGCCCTCAGGATGCGATGTCCAGGGCTGTAAATAGTCTCTGCTTTGCGCTTCCTTTGAAAGCCACTGGCCCAGAGACGCTTCTCAGACACTCCTCCATTCGAGGCATCTTCTAGGGTTT